CCATCCTGATGGAAGAAGACAAATTCCCAATGAAGTAGTCATCTCAAAAAAAAAAAAAAAAAGTCAAATCTAAATGTGGTCAAGGCTCTAGATTGCAGCTGTCCATTTACAGGAAACATACAGATGGGAGGTACACATTAAATTACACCAGCGGAAAGCCAACAGCAAAATGCAGACTGTGGGAAATTCTACAGGATACATCCTTCCCCTGCTCCCAATAAACTGCTTTGAAAAATGGAAGGGGATGGTCAAAACCTACAGATCAAAAGAGAAGTAAAAGAATATCAATCAGTTGCAACGTGTAGACCTTATTTGCATCCTGATACAAGCAAATGTAAAAAAAAAAAAAAAAAAGACTTCTAAGATAATCGGAAAAACCTGAACACTGAACATTTGCTGGAACTAAGGAATTATAATATTTTAGTTATTATGTTTATATGTATTTTTAAAATCCGTGTCTTTTATATGTTTTATTTTTTAAAAAGATGTTATTTATTTGAGAGAGAGAGCACAAGCAGGGGGAGAGGCAGAAGCAGAGGGAGAAGCAGGCTCCCCGCTGAGCAGGGAGTCCAATGCGGGACTCAATGCCAGGACCCTAGAATCATGACCTGAGCCAAAGGCAGACGCTTAACCAACTGAGCCACCCAGGTGTCCCTTTATATACAAGATTTTATTTATTCATTTGTCAGAGAGAGACAGAGAGAGAGAGCACAAGCAGGGGGAGCAGCAGGCAGAAGGAGAAGCAGACTCCCCACTGAGCAAGGAGCCTGATGGGGGGCTCGATCCCAGGACCCTGGGGTCACAACCAGAGCTGAAGGCAGATGCTTAAACAACTGAGCCACCCAGGCGCCCCTAATCCGTATCTTTTAAAGACATATATGGAAATAGTTACAAATGAAGTATGCAGTCTGACATTTGCGACAAAATTATCTGGGAGGGGAGGTTGGGATGGGGTAAAGATGAGATAAACACCCACAAGTAGATAACTGTACAAGCAGGGTACTGGATACACAGCAATTCTTTATAATCTTCTATTTTTGCATGTTTTAAATTTCCTAAGTAACAAGAGATGAGTGCAATTGCCCACATTAACAGAATAAGGGGAAACCCCGTAATCACTTCACTTGATGAAAAAGCATGTGGCGACAAGAGAACACCAGACTGAGAGTGAGAAGAGCTCCCTTTAGCCCTGATTCTGCTGGGTAACACCAGGCCAGTCACTCCACCTCTCTGGGCCTTGGGCCCTTGTCTCAAGAATAATAGAGTTTAACCACACGATTTTTTCTTTTTTTTTAAGATTTATTTATTTGAGAGAGGGGAGGGGAAGAGGGAGAGGAAGAGAGAATCCCACAAGCAGACTACCCACTGAGACTGGAGCCCCGACAGATGTGGGATTCAATCCTAGGACCCTGGGATCATGACCTGAGCCAAAGGCAGACGCCTAACAACTGAGCCACCCAGGTGCCCCTTTTCTTTTTTTTAAAGATTTTATTTGTTTGAGAGAGAGAGCACAAGCAGGGGAAGTGGCAGGCAGAGGGAGAGGGAGAAGCAGGCTTCCCACCGAGCAGAGAGCCCAATGTGGGGCTTGATTCCAGAACCCTGGGATCATGACCTAAGCCGAACGCAGGCACTTAATCGACTGAGCCACCCGGGCGCCCAAAGAGCTGACTTTTCTTTTTAAATTTATTTATTCATTTGAGAGAGAGGGTATGGGGGAGGAGCAGAGGGAGAGGGAGAGAATCTTAAGCAGACACCGCTGAGTGCGAGCCCGAGCCCGACGTGGGGCTCGATATTGTGACCCTAAGATCATGACCTGAGCCAAAATCAAGAGTCAGATGCTTAACTGACTGCGCCACCCAGGTGCCCCAAGAGCTGACTTTTTAAGTTGGGTTTGGAAGAAAAAGTGGTACAAAGATAGGAGATGGGAATAAATCATGTAGACCCTAAAAGCAGCTCTCCTTAATTCCAATGGAGAACAAAGAACTAATGAAAAACATGTAGGGTGAAACAACAGGTGTTGGTGAGAATGTGCAGAAAGGGGAGCCTCCTGCACCGTTGGTGGGAGTGCAAGCTGGTGCAGCCCCTGTGGGAAACAGTACGGAGGTTCCTCAACAAGTTAAAAATAGAGCTACCCTACATCCAATAATCCCACTATGGGGTATTTACCCAAAGAATACAGAAACACTAATTCAAAGGGATACATGCACCCCTGTGTTTATAGTAGCGTTATCTACAACAGCCAAGATCCGGAAGCAGCCCAAGGGTCCACTGATTGATGAATGAAATCTTGCCATTTGCAATAACATGGATGGATCTAGAGAGTATTATTATGCTAAGTGAAATAAGTCAGTGAAAGACTCGTGTGCAATTTAAGAAACAAAACTAATGAGCAAAGAAAGGAAAGAAAAAAGCAGACAAACCAAGAAACAGCCTCTTCTTTTTTTTTTTTTTTAAAGATTTTATTTATTCGAGACATAGAGATACAGAGAGAGAGAGAGAGCATGAGCAGGGAGAGAGGCAGAGGGAGAAGCAGGCTGATGCGGGGCTCAATCCCAGGACCCTGGGATCATGACCTGAGCCGAAGGCAGACGCTTAACCATCTGAGCCACCCAGGCGCCCCAAGAAACACTCTTAATTACAGAGAACACACTGATGGTTATGGGGGGGGTGGTGGTGAAGGGTGGGGGAAACAGGTGATGGGGCCTACGGAGCGCACTTGTGATGAGCACTGGGTCATGTATGGAAGTGCTGAATCACTATATTACATACCTGAAACTAATATAACACTGTATGGTAACCATACTGGAATTAAATTTAAAAAGTTAATTAAAGGGGCGCCTGGGTGGCTCAGTCATTAAGCGTCTGCCTTCGGCTCAGGTCGTGATCCCAGGGTCTTGGGCTGGAGCCCCGCATCGGGCTCCCTGCTCAGCGGGAAGCCTGCTTCTCCCTCTCCCACTCCCCCTGCTTGTGTTCCCTCTCTCGCTGGGTCTCATTTATTTGAGAGAGAGAGAATGAGAGACAGAGAGCACCAGAGGGAAGAGGGTCAGAGGGAGAAGCAGACTCCCCGCCGAGCAGGGAGCCCGATGTGGGACTCGATCCCAGGACCCTGGGATCATGACCTGAGCCGAAGGCAGACGCTTAACCAACTGAGCCACCCAGGCGCCCTAAATAAATAAAATCTTAAAAAAAAAAAAAGTTAATTAAAAATATGTTGTGTGAACTAAACATACAGGATTAAAATACATCTATTTAAATAAAGAAAACAGAAGGTTTACAACCTGTTACTTTTAAGAAGAGCTAATATTTAAAATCAAAGTCTAAAAGACAACAATCTCTCTGTGCTGCAGGAATTTAATTACCTGGAGAACCAGCCATATACTCAGCAAACACTCAAAGACAAGACCAAACACATAGGAAATACAAAATGCCCTGAAGTAAGAACTGTTCCTTTAAGTTCCATATAATATCTAGCATAATGGGGCACACATCCTAAAAAGCAAAACAAAACAAAAAAACACAACACCACAAGTCATAATGCTAGAACAGAACAAGGTCTGACTCATGGGCCAGCTGCTTCACTTTTCAGCATCATCACAATCAACATCACAGGCTTAGACAGGTGAGTGGCACCAGCTTCCTAGTCACTTGGGACTACAATAGGAAGAAAGGTCTCATCTTGAGGATTAGACCCACGGTAAGATTTATTTTAACCAAAGGCTATGTGACAATAAAGAAAACTCTGTGTGGTGTGGTTTTTTTTTTGTTTTTTTTTTTAAGATTTTATTTTTAAGTAATCTCTACACTCAATGTCGGGGCTGGAACTCACAGTCCCGAGATCAAGAGTTGCATGCTCCACCGACTGAGCCAGCCAGGTGCCCCTTGTGTGTTCTTTTTTCCAGCACTAGTTCACAAAACAAGCTAAGGTAAGTCCTCATCCTAGGGACACTTGTTGATGTGAAGTTTGCCCTTCCAGAGCATTTCCAAATACATGAATATCTTCCTGCCCAAAGACTGAGATGCTGGGTGGGTTTCTATGTTGTAGGAATGTAAGTCACAGCTGCGGCCACTGTAACAGGGAACTGAGTCAGGTGACCAGTCGCCCTGCTAACTTCTTGTCTAAACTAAAAACTAGACAGAACTTCAAAGCTGCCTTTATAAAAGCAGCTAGCAGTAACAAACTAAAATAAATGAAAATTTACAGGCAGGCACATTCTGGAATTCTTAACTGGCTTTTCTACCCCAGGTTCCCCCGCCTCCATCCTTAGCCTGTTGGCAAATTCGGGGTTAGTATACGTATGCTTTGTTTAAATATTTTATCTGCAGCCCATTCCACACCTGTCAACGTTTTCGTATGACGGTTGGAATCAAAGCCTAGGGCTTCGTGGACAAAACATCCTTCCCCAAAGAAGTGCAATTTATAAAAACTGTCATTCTTTGTTGCTACAGGTTATTAACCATTAACCTTCCACCCGTGAAATGCACGTATGCACGTAGGTTCCAAACAAGAAAAACTATTCAAGGGGCAGTCCTACAAAATACAACGATTAAGTGTGCCGTCGCTTGAAGAAAACCACTAATGACCTTAACGAAGACAAAACGCAGACCCAAACAACAAAACATGCTGTGCACATCAAGAGCTCAACTATAAGAATTATTTTCGAGGAGCGGAAAGGTGCGTACAGACTCGCCAGCCGACTCTGCTGCATTAGCAAAAGTTCTGTCAACGGTCCCCGGGTGGCAGCGACACCCTCGGCTCCATGACACCAAGGCGGCTGACGCAGGACACCGGGGGGCTCCGAGGCCGGGAGGTCGGGCGCCCCTCGCGCGGGGGACTGCCCACCCTGCGCGCCCCCGCCCCCCGCAGGCCGCGGGCCCTGCTCCTGGAGAGTCCGGCTGACGCCGCAGCCGGGCACAAAGGGGTGCGGGGCCCACAGGTGTCCCTGGGTCAGTCCTCTGGCGGCCCGCCCTCCCGGCCCGCCCTCTGCAGGACCCCCGCTTACCCGGCCGGACGCCGCATCCCTGCGCTCCGCGCCGCGCTCAGGGGCGCGCTGACAGCCGGGGCCAGCGAAGGCACGGCAGAGCGGAGGGAGAAAAGCCCCCCCCGGAGGCCGCAAGGCCGCCATGGCCAGTGTCCCTCGGCTGCCGCCGCGCACGGCAAAGCCGCGCCCGCGCGACGGGCTGCCTTACGGCACGGTCGCAAAGCCGGAGGGAGGGAGCGGCGCGGCCGACCGTGCGCTCTCCCCGCGGAAGACCGGCCTCGCGGGCGACGCGGCGCGGGGGCGGGGATCGGCGGCTGCTCCTGGGCCGCGGGCCGTTCCGGGCCGCCGTGCCGGGCGGTAGTGGCGGCGTCGGCGCGGGCGCGGGGCGGCGCGACGCCGGAGGACGTTTTCCCAGGGCGAGGGCTGCTCGGCCGGGGGCGGGGCCGCGGGACTGGCGACGGCGGGAGCCGCGGAGCCGCTGGACGTCGGCGGCGGAGCGCGCGATGGCGCGGGAGGCACAGGTGAGCGCCGAGCGGCGGCTGGAGGGCCCGCGAGCCGCCCCCGCCCCGCTCCCGCCCGACCCGGCCTCGGCCAGGCGCCGCGTCCTGCCTGCGTCGGGCGCGGGCCGGCCCGCTCGCTCCTCTCCCGGGGCTTCCAGTCCCGCCCGGGGGGCTCGGCGGCGCGGCCGAGCGCGGCCGCCCCCTCCGCGCGCGGGCCATTGTGAGGTCAGGGCCGGCGGGCGCGTCGGGGGTCCCGGCGCGACGCCCGGAGCGGCCGCTGAGGCCAGTAGCTGCCGCGCCACCGCCGGCCCCTTCACCGGCCGCCCGGTTCAGACCTAGCCGGCAGGGGTGAGAGGGATGCAGCTAGGGGCCCAGCTCCGGTGCCGCACCCCGTGAAGGGCTGACCCTCCACCTCGCCACGTCACCCACGGGGAGCCAGACTAAACCAGCTTAGACCTCTTCTGGGTAAAGTGCTGGCAGGGAAGGGCGAGAAGGGGGGGGAGAGAAGCCGGGCAGCCCGCCCTTCGTGGGCCTCCAGAGACATGTTCCTGGCCCGAACACCCGCAAGGGATTGGTGTCAACGGATCATCCGTCCTCGTGCGTGAGCCGGCTGGTAGAAACTCGGGAGCATGGGGGAGAAGACCTGCGTGAAGCCATTCCGGACTCTGAATGGGAGGCTAATGAATGAATTGTTCATAGTCGTCGCACTTGGGGGCGGGGGGAGGTACTAGCCCCCCAAAGGCCAAGGCGGTGCTTTTAACACAGTGCCAGTTCACCTTTCCTTTCCTGTGGAGGGAGGATTTGCGAGGTACTCAGAGGGGGCCGGGGGAAACAGGGTGGCTTTGTAGAAGCGTGGGAAGGGTGGAGAGGAAGGGTGGAAAGTCCCGCTTCTGCGGGACTTTCGGGGGTGACTGGGATCCCCTGCTATTTCACTTTTTCTGGAAACGAGGCATAGCTTTTGGGCCAGGGGGGTGCTGGGATGGCACTGTTACCTTTGAAGGTTAAACGAGCTACTGTTTTACATCCACAAAGGAGCCCTGCTGTTGCCAACAACCAGGGCCAATGTTAATATTATGTAAGATACTTGTGCTGTCTCCAGGCTGGTAGTTGACCTCGTGCGGCACGTGTAAAGACATATGCTACTCTCTTCCAGCTGTGGACACTGGAAATTCACAGGCTCAGAGCTCCAGCTCATTCCCCACTGCAGTATGCTGTCTGTTCTTTTTTTTTTTTTTATAAATTAGTTTCTTTATTATTTTTTATTTTGTTTAAAGATTTTATTTATTTATTTGAGAGGGAAAGAATGAGAGATAGAGAGCACAAGAGGGAAGAGGATCAGAGGGAGAAGCAGACTCCCCGCCGAGCAGGGAGCCCGATGTGGGACTCGATCCCAGGACTCCAGGATCATGACCTGAGCCGAAGGCAGTCGCCCAACCAACTGAGCCACCCAGGCGCCCCTGCTGTCTGTTCTTTAATCACTGCTTTGTGTAGGTGATTTTCAGGAAAGTGGATTAGTCACACTCTGTGTACTTGAGTATGACTGTTGTTTAGATAACAGTAATGATGGGCCCTTTTTCTTGAATATATTTTTTTAAAATGATAATCTCAGAATAAATGAACATACGATTACTTTTCTGTAGAGACTTTGTGTAATTTGGCCTTCTTGTCATTTTTTTAGTGCTTGTAAAACCGAACACAACAAAAGTATGGATATGGGAAACCAACATCCTTCTATCAGTAGGCTTCAGGAAATCCAAAAGGAAGTAAAAAGTATAGAACAGCAAGTAATTGGCTTCAGTGGTCTGTCAGATGACAAGAATTACAAGAAACTGGAGAGGTTTCTAACAAAACAACTCTTTGAAATAGACTCTGTAGATACTGAAGGAAAAGGAGATATTCAGCAAGCGAGGAAGAGGGCGGCACAAGAGACAGAGCGTCTTCTCAAAGAGTTGGAGCAGAATGCAAACCACCCACACCGGATCGAAATACAGAACATCTTTAAAGAAGCCCAGTCCCTGGTGAAAGAGAAGATTGTGCCATTTTATAGTGGGGGCAACTGTGTAACTGATGAATTTGAAGAAGGCATCCAGGATATCATCCTGAGGCTGACACATGTCAAAACCGGAGGGAAGATCTCCTTGCGGAAAGCAAGGTATCACACTTTAACCAAAATCTGTGCGGTGCAAGAGATCATTGAAGACTGCGTGAAAAAGCAGCCTTCTCTGCCACTCTCCGAGGATGTGCATCCTTCAGTTGCCAAAATCAACTCGGTGATGTGTGAGGTGAACAAGGCCAGGGGCACTCTGATTGCACTTCTGATGGGAGTGAATAGTAATGAGACTTGCAGGCACTTATCCTGTGTGCTCTCGGGCCTGATTGCGGATCTGGATGCTCTGGATGTGTGCGGGCGTACGGAAATCAGAAATTACCGGCGGGAGGTTGTGGAAGATATCAACAAATTATTGAAATATTTGGATTTGGAAGAGGAAGCAGATACTACTTATGCATTTGACCTGGGACAGAATCATTCCATTTTAAAGATAGAAAAGGTCCTCAAGAGAATGAGAGAAATAAAAAATGAACTTCTTCAAGCACAAAACCCTCCTGAATTATACCTGAGCTCCAAAACAGAATTGCAGGGTCTGATTGGACAGTTGGATGAGATCAGTCTCGAGAAGAACCCTTGCATCCGGGAAGCTCGGAGAAGAGCGGTGATTGAGGTGCAAACCCTGATAACCTACATTGACTTGAAGGAGGCCCTGGAGAAGAGGAAGGCGTTTGCTTGTGAGGAGCACCCGTCCCATAAAGCGGTCTGGAACATCCTTGGAAACTTGGCCGAGATCCAGGGCGAAGTTCTTTCATTTGATGGGAACCGAACTGATAAGAACTACATCAGGCTGGAAGAGCTGCTCACCAAGCAGCTGCTGGCCCTGGACGCCGTCGACCCACAAGGAGAAGAGAAGTGTAAGGCTGCCAGGAAACAGGCGGTGAAGCTCGCCCAGAACATCCTCAGCTATCTCGACTTGAAATCCGACGAATGGGAGTACTAAACACTACCCATCTCACGGTTGATACTTCTTGTTTTGCACTTTATACATACTTCTATGTATTTATAGAGAGCTTTCAGTTCGTTGAGCCTAAATGTGATTTATACATGCAGATTTCAATCTCCATTTTTATGATTTAAGCAAATTATATTCAGTATCTCTGCTGCTTTTGATGTTGCCAAACAAATGTCATTATAGCACGTTAATTTTTCCATTTGGATCATTATCTGTATGTTGTGTGGTTTTGGGGGGTTTTTTTAATCAGAAAGTGGAATGGGCAGCTTTTGTCATTTTTAAGTGGGTTGTGGAAGCATTGAAATGCAGATCTTTCAGGATCTACATATAGACATAACCTGATAGAGCACTAGAACAATTATGAGAAAGGGGGAAATTTTTGGTTAGGTAGAAGTAAGGTCCAAACACAAAAGCAAACAATGATATGTTCTATTACGCTACATAAAGCAGAAGGGTTTGGGTTTTTTTTCTCTGTTTCTAAGGCCTGATTGGTCCAACCCAAGTTAATAGGGTGGGGGTTTTTTTGTTTTCAGATTTTCTGTTTTTTCATAAGCATTTTTTGTTCGGAAAATGGTGTCTGTGTTTTCCCCCATACTCTTCATTTAGAGGAGAAAATCTTACGTGCAACAGAAAATTATGAAAATTAATAGCAAAAAAACCTTTGAGATTGCCCTGAAGAAGGGAAAAAACACCAACTAATTACCTTCAGGTTTTGTTGTAAACTCTGAATTTACAAGTTTCTTCCGTAGTCATCAGTAAGGATGGGAACATTTAAGTGAAGTTAGGAGATCTTTTAAAAAAAGAAAAAAAGGAAACACCCATCCCTGTGGCAAGATCATGAAAGCTGGAGATCAGTTACCGATGTCAGGTTGTGCTAAACCTAAGCAGACTTGTCTGTAGCATGTCCCGGGCTGCTTCTATTCAAGGCTGCATCACGGACAAGCTCCTTACACACACCCAGTGCTGTTTTATAGCGGCGGTGAGCAGAATCCACCAGTGGCTCTGCAGGACCAGACCTTGCTAGCTTGTCCGAGGAGGTGAGCTCCTCCTAGCGTCTGAACACCTCGCACCCTGGGACTGAGCAGTGAAAGCAGCTCTAAGCATCTGCCGGGCTCCATAGCTCACGTCCCCGGCACGTGGAGGTGTCTCTAGGGCCAGAAAGAGCCAGTAAGCTCTGTCTGTGTGTGGTGTTTTTCCTTCTGCTGAAGGGTATACAGATTTCTGTATGTGCTCTCTGAGGGTCCAGTTCTATGGCTGCCAGTTGATGGGTCAAAAGAATTTCCCAAAGTTCTGAAGTGCCTTGATAACGTGTTGGTCCCAGCATGATGACGAACAGACTGTTGTCACCTTTCACACAATAACCCTTCTAGAGTACGGCTTTGGACTCTGGTAGTCTGTAATGTTCTTTCAGAGATAATGATTTGGTAACTATGTAGGCAGCTAAAAATAAGAGATAAGGGAATAGCCCTAAATACCGAAAAGATGATAAAAGTGTGGCCCTCAAGAGACTTTTCCGCCTTGTCTCAGCATTGCCCAAGTCAAAAGGCATTTGCGTCTTTGGGCCTTGAGCCCCTCCCGTGTGCGCATCCAGCCCCTGGTGCCTGCAGGTCCCTGGGAGCTCATTTTGGCCGAAGTCCTTTTAGGACTGCTATTCTGTATCATCATTTTCGGGTGCTCTTAAAAGGAGTTTCTAAACTCAAGTGCTGCCTCAGTTTACTCCCCTGGGAAATCAGGGCTTCCTCTCAAGCACTTGAGGCATGTCCTGCCCCAGGCTCTACGTCACTTTCAATGTCAGATTTGAAGGTTGAATGTCAGCATTTCCTTTCAAAGTATCCATTGTTCTTCCAAAAGGGAACTGCCTGTGCTCTTCATTTCAAACAAGGTGTTCTGTAGCCTTTCCAGTGCCGCTCAGCTCTGCCTTACAGCGCTGCCTGTAAGTGGAGGGAAGTCTCGAGCGCCATTGCGGATTTCTCGCGGGGGCTCTTTTGGTCATCGAGATGATCAGACCATCCTCAAGTGACTTGAGGCGTGGCGTCTCCTGTCCAACCCGTTCTAGCTCCTTGCACCTGATGACTTTCCCATAAGGAACCCTAGTGACACGGGATTTGGCTTTTCTTGTCCCCAGCTGGGAGCTGTCTGTGTTCATAGGGGCTGCCTCATGTAACTTTAAATTGGGCTCATGACACTGTATTGTATTTTTATGATCTTACATGAAGAGAACCTGTAATGGAAGTAAAACCTACCCCCAAAAAAATGTTTGGCCTTGGGTCTGCATTAAACGGTATAATCCATGTTCATGCAAAAACTGGCTGGGAATGTTTGCTTTCTTTACCTCACATGCAGACAGCTTTGCTTTCAGGTCAGCCTTTACCCAAATTAGACTAAAGTCAGTCGACCTCTAATGAAGTAGTTATGAAAATAAATGTAATGAATAAGTCTCCTAAGTACAGTGGGATGCTTTATTTTGCTACAATGCCTTGGTATAGTGTATGTGATACAAGTTAGTAGTATGTGCGAGATGCTTCACCAGTGTGGCTCATTTGTTTTACTTTGCCAATTTTTATCTGGTTTTTGAAGGTCTAAGCCTATCCTGTACGTACAGATTATTTTTAAGCAAAGCTTTTCAGCTTCTAATGTGTCTAGTATTTTTCTAAGAATAAGTGGAGAAATATTTGCCATTGATTTTGATGTACAATACAGATGTGTTCCTCCAGTGTGTTGGTTCTATCCCTACTCTATTCATTGTATGACTATTGTAATCGTATGTCTGAAATAATCAGTATTTTGAGATATTAGTATACCCTTAATTATTAATGCAATAAAAATCTCTTAGCTTATCTTTGCAGTGGAGAAAGGATGTGAGTCTGAGGTGTGAGTTCTGTTCTGATTCACCTTCATATACTATCCAACCCGGGTGAGGAATGTTGTCTTGGAAGAGTGGGCCCGGCATGGGGAAGGTGGGCTTTGTCGGTCCAGTTGGTGGTAATGGCCTAAGGAGGTGGCCAGGTGAGCACAGACCAGGGTCCCGTGGCAGGTGAAGGGGTAACCGTTCCATGTAAGCAACCCCAGAAGTGTGGGGACCAGAGAACGGGAGATATGGTCTCCCGTTCTGCCCATGGGCCTGTGCACACAGGTGACCTTACCTGTAGCAAAGAGGGGAAAGTCTAGGAAACTCCTCTCCCCGGAGAAAAGGCTTAAGGTGTGCTATTGAAGCTCATCTTCTCATTAGCAGAGAACTGGTATTTCTGACCAGTTAGTCCTTCCAGGGCTCCTGAGCCCTCGGCCACCTCCCTGTTCCATCTCCAGTGAGGACGAGCCCCACTCACTTGGGCAGTTTCTCTGCCCGTTGTACACCTGTTCATGAAAGCAGGACCTTGTTTGTTCTGCTTCTAGCCTTCTACGAGCACGTTTCTGCTGTCTTCTCTCTTGCTGCGAGTGTCTTCCATGTGACCCACATGCTCAGCCATGCAAATGTGGCCTAGGCCCAGAAGTGAAAAGAAAGAAATTGTACAGGTTAAAAAAGAATACTTTGGGGGAAACTGGAAATTTTTTAATAAATTCTCTGCCACACACTGAGATGCACTGTATACCACATTAGGCTTTGATTCCTTGTGGACATTAGAACCAGTGTCGTCAAGCTCCTACTGCGTGCCGCATGGCCGTGCTAATGGTCAGAAAATATCCATCACACCATGTGGCCCCAAAGAAACGACAGTCTGGTTAAGGTGGTAGAGGACATGCTGTGCTGGGCGCTCTGGATCTGTCTCTGGCATAAATGCCTGGGCATCAGGAGCTAGGAGGGTGCTTAGTGTGCACTGGTGAGGCCAGGGGATGTCATGGCCCAGGGAGGCTGAGGGAGGGGGCTCAGGGGTCCCTAACGGCACTGGACAGGAGGAACCCCGGAGGGGGCTGGGGTGAAGCCCTGGCATGCAAATGTGCCAGCTGGAGGGCAAGCAAGGCCCAGATTGGGCCCTTGGATGCAACTCTGAGGTTACCCAGGTGGTCAAGATGTGTCAGATGGTGGCTTCTGCTGTGATTGATTGATTTGAGAGAGAGTGAGGTGGGGTAGGGGCAGAGGGAGAATCTTCCAAGCAGACTCTCCGCCAAGCTCAGTGAAGACCTGAGCTGAGATCAAGAGTCGGACACTTAGCTGCCTGAGCTACCCAGGTGCCCCCACTTCTGCTGTAATGTAAATGCTTCATTTTCCAAGCCATCTCTGACTGACTGAACCAGTGCGCCAGGCCCTGTGTGAAGCATGTTATACACACACTTAATTCTCAGAAGTGTTCCAAGGTAGGTTTAGTACTCTGTTTCATAGATGATTCAGACCTTCGGGTGATCACTTGCCCAAGGAAATGCCCTGGGTCACAGGGCACATAGGAAAGGCAGTCACTATCCAGGACAGCGCCAACTCAGCAGAACTCCTGCCCCAGTTTACCTGGAGGGCAGGTCCTACCTGCAGGGCTCCTGAGCACACTGTGCACAGCCCAGGAGCTCATGATGGCCCACCTGGGGGAGCAGCTGATAACTCAGGCCCAGCAGTTGAGAGCTCAGGCTGGGGCCGGAAATCTCAGCTCTTCTGCCAAGCTCCAGCACCTTTCTGCAACGTGGGCGCTTAGCACCAAAGGTTGAGGCGGACGCTACCTAGTGCACGCCACGTTGGGCTCCAAATGTCAAAAAACCCTGCATCCTTTTTTTTCTTTTTTTTTTTTTCAGATTTTATTTATTTGACAGAGAGACAGGGAGCGAGGGAACACAAGAAGGGGGAGTGTGAGAGGGAGAAGCAGGCTTCCCGCTGAGCAGGGAGCACACCTCAGGGCTCAAACCCAGGACCCTGGGATCATGACCTGAGCCGAAGGCAGACACTTAACGACTGAGCCACCCAGGTGCCCCCCCCGCTTTTTCTAAGATTTTATTTTATTTTTTTTTAATATTTTATTTTATTATTTGACAGAGAGAGAGACAGTGAGAGAAGGAACACAAGCAGGGGGAGTGGGAGAGGGAGAAGCAGGCTTCCCGCCAAGCAGGGAGCCTGATGCGGGGCTCGATCCCGGGAATCCGGGATCATGACCCGAGCTGAAGGCAGACGCTTAACGACTGAGCCACCCAGGCGCCCCACTAAGATTTTAAAGTAATCTCTATACCCAACATGAGGTTCAAACGACAACCCCGAGATCAAGAGGGGCTTGCTCAACCGACTGAGCCAACCAGGCGCCCCACCCCCCACCCTGCATCCCTTTTGGTGGGAAAACTTCATAAGAAATACTGTCTTAGGGGCGCCTGGGTGGCTCAGTCGTTAGGCGTCTGCCTTCGGCTCAGGTCATGATCCCGGGTCCTGGGATCGAGCCCCGCATCGGGCTCCCTGCTCCATGCAAAGCCTGCTTCTCCCTCTCTGATTCCCCTGCTTGTGTTCCTGCTCTCGCTGTGTCTCTCTCTGTCAAATAAATAAGTAAAATCTTTAAAAAAAAAAAAAAAGAAATACTGTCTTAAACCAGCGTCTTACTCTGTCCTCATGTCTCTTCATTGTGAATTATAACTGGAAAAATACCTCCTTCCTACTTATCCTCAAAGTGAAGTTAATATTTCTCCTCTTTGGATCCGTACACCTTCCTGAGCTGCCAGGAGGCCATGGCTCCCAGTTTGAGGAGCACGGCCTGCCTCCACATCTTGTCTTCACTCTGTGGTCACAACATTTCATTTATACAATAAACAAGCCATTTTGGGGTGCTTGGGTGGCCTAGTCGGTTGAGCATCCGACTCTTGGTTTCGTCTCAGGTCATGATCTCAGGGTCATGGGATCGAGCTCCGTGTCTGGGTCTGCGCTCAGCACGGAGTCTGCTTGAGACTCTCTCTCTCTCTCTCTCCCTCTGCCCCTCGCCCTGCTCACGTGCTTTCTCAAAATAAAATCTTTAAACTCTTGAGCCATTTCCCTGTAGCCTGTTTCCCGAGTGAACACGGCCAGCCCTCATGCTGACATGAGTGTCGCCGTCCCTGTCCTCCAGGGGCCTGGGACACAGGGCTGAGTGGCCCCGTCACCTTCCTACCTGGCCAGACTGCAGGCATGGCCTCCACACCTGCCCTTCCTCCCACAGCTCCCTGGCCTCTGGCTCACTTGTCACCCCTCGCCGGGCCACCCCACACTGCCTTCCAAACTCACCATGTCCTTTCAATGAACTCTTCTTGGGAAGTGGTGCTCTCGGCTCCTGCTACATAATACATATTCAAGAACTTGCTGACTACATGAATGGAAAGTCTCAGATTGCAGAGAGCTCCATCGAGTGTTCAGAACAGCTGCCTTGGGATGCCTGGTGGGTTCAGTCGGTAAAGGATGCAACTCTTGTTCTCGGAGTCATGAGTTTGAGCCCCACGTTGGGCATGGAGCCTACTTAACACTTTAAAAAAATAAAATAAAGGGCGCCTGGGTGGCTCAGTTGGTTAAGCGACTGCCTTCGGCTCAGGTCATGATCCTGGAGTCCCAGGATCGAGTCCCGCATCGGGCTCCCTGCTCGGCGGGGAGTCTGCTTCTCCCTCTGACCTTCTTCCCTCTGATGCTCTCTCTCTACCATTCTCTCTCTCTCTCTCAATAAATAAAAATCTTTAAAAAAATAAAATAAAATAAAATCTTAAATAAAAATAAAGCTCATTAGGATTCAAAGAACTATGGTCTACTGCACCTGAAGCTGGGATCCTGGTGTCACGGTCAAGAACTCGCCCTATAGCCATCTCATCCCCTGGGCACGGTCAAGAGTGCCCCAGACCAAGGCCCGTGTGGTGAGAGGCCCAGCCAGGCTGGTGTATCGCCACCCCTGCCTCTGACCAACTGCCCTTGGCTGAGCACCTAGCCAGGTGAGGAGCCGAAGGGACACAGGCAGCCCTCACATGAGGGAGCCCCCCCTCCGGGGGGTGCACACTGTGGCCTCCTTGGTCATATCATCTTCCTGGCCAGGTCGGGGGGGCTGGACAGCAAGGTGCCCAAGGCCCAATGTGTCAGGCAGAGGCAGGAACCTTCTGCCAAGAGGAGCACTGCACCAGAGCTCACGAGGTGGAAATGGGCGTGGAGGGTCCCACCAGGACCCCTGAGGTCTGGGTGCAAGCCACCCTTCTCTCTCACCATCCTGGGATGCTGTTTTCCTGGGGAGGGCAAAGAATGGAATTGCTCCCATCTCATGCCTGGTCACAGGCAACCCTGCGAACCCCTGGTGGCCAGCCCTGCAGAAAGGATTGGCTCCTGGGCTGCTGTCCCCAATCCTTGGCACGTCCGGTCGGACTGCTGAGTGGCCAGTAGCCACCCCAGGCTGCAGACTGAGTCCAGCGAACCCCAGGGGCAGTGGGAACTGACCGCATGCGCCACCTGCCAGGAACCCAGTGGCAGTCCAGCCTGGCAGGCCCGGCGGAGAATCCCTCGGCCTGAAGCCACAACACCTGGCCAGTCACTCTTGTCTCCACATGGACCCTGAGATCACGAAACTGGTTTCTTCCTGGCAGTATCGTCAGTCCCTAGGACATCACCTGGCCCAACCAAAGAAATGTTTGTCAAGTGAGTGAATGACCGGAAACAGCACCACCGGGGCTGGCAGAAGAGCGGGGGGGGGGGGGGCCGGGATGACGTCCTGAGTCAGGGATGGCCTCCTGTGTTCGTGTAGCACAGTTCCATGGGCCCTGTCCTGGGAACCCGGGGGGTTGGCAGCCCCAGCCCCAGGAGTGTCCCCGTGTCTGGGGAGAAGGCAGACAAGGGTCATGGAGCACACAGGTCAGGGGCAGGGTGAGTGTGTGCCCTGCACATGTGCCCCTGGTGGGGGAGTCAGAGAACGCCCCTTGAGGGGCACACCTTTGACACCAAGCCCCTCGGGCTGGGAAGGCCTCCCAGGTGAGGGAGAGGCAGGGGTGGAGGCCCAGAGCCCGGTGCCAGGCATACCTGAGGGCCTGGCGGAGCTGGGCAGGGAGCAGGGGTGGAGCGGAGACGGAGCCGACGGATGGCAGGCGCCCAGGGAGCCGCGGGAGCCGCTGGGTCTTTCAGGACCGGGTGATTTGCTGAGCGCTCTGCACCCCCCCACACACGCCCCCCCCCCCGGCCAGTGGCAGGGGCAGGCGCTGGACTGGGCGCAATGGGACCAGGGCAGGGGGCCCAGGAGGGAGGGCGCCGTAAGAGTAGCAAGCGGAGAGAGGGACCCAGGGAGAGGATTTGGGGTGGGGCAGTGAGGGCGGCCCCAGGGGTGGGGGCTCCTGGGGGTCTGGCCTGCCCCCGCCCCTCGGCGTGGGGACAGAGTTGCTCAAGAAGGCAAGTGGAGAACTCCCCGGGTCTAGCTAACAAAAAGAGCTGGTTATTAAGGTGCAAAGATGCAACGGGCCACAGGGGCCAGCGCACGCCTTGGGCCTGGGGCAGCGAGGTGCCGGCAGCCCGCCCTCACCCTGAGGTCTCGCGCGGGCACCCCCTGCCGGCCTCCTGGCGTTTCCCTCCCTGCAGGCCGGCTGAGGCAGGCCCAGGGCACTCCCGGCGACCCTCAGCTCCTGGCTCCCGATGCCTTACTTTCCCTGGGACACCCGGTTGCCCGCCCTCGCCCCCCACCCCCGCCCAGGCTTTCAAAGGAAAGGAAGGTGTCCTGGGACCACCATGGCTATTGGGGCGGTCCTGAGAGCAGGGGTCATACAGGATCTGGGGGAGAGTGTGCAGGCGGAACCACCACCCAGGCAAAGGCCCTTTGGAGCTGTGGGTGGGAGGTCAGGTGAGAGTCTGCGGGACAGGACCCCGGGGCGCCTTGTTGGCTGTGCGGGGAGCTGTGGGCGCCTTGGGCAGCAGGATCGCCTCTGGATCAGAAAGTCCCCAGGAACAGAGAGCCAGGTACGATACAGCAATACGGATGGCCCTCTGGGACCGCGCGCTTTCCCCTAGGCCCAACCCACCGCAGCGCCAAGCCTGGCGCAGTGACTCATCCCATGGGTGTCTATCCAGACGCTAGGCCTGAGCAACGGCAGGCTTGGGAGGGAGCCCCAGGGGACCCCTCCCAGTGAGACCTCTAGAGGAGAAGGAGGACCCAGCCAAACCCTCCCCCACCCCCATCCCCTCCAAGCCCCCGGCCCTCCGCACAGTCCGGCCCTCCCTGCTCCCGCACCTGCTTGGCACGCGGCCCCCTTGACCTTGGAGGTCTCTTGAGCTGGTCGTGTATTGTGATTGTGGTTGCGATAGCGGCCGCCAGGCGGCGCCCGAGACCCGGCCTCCGGGACCCAGCGCCTCCCAGGGTGGAGGGAGCAGCGGAAAGCGAGCAGCCGGCTGGCCGCTCAGCTGTCGCTCCTGGGTGCCCGCCGAGCGCACCTGCCCTCGCGCTGCTGGACAGGTGGCCGCGGCTTCTGCCCCCAGTTGGTTGCCCGTGGGGCCTCCGTGACCCGTCAACGCCACGACCATGCACCACGGCGGGAGGTCCGCGCAGAGCCCTGTGGTTCTCGCAGCTTCCGACGCGCCCCTCGGAGCTGGGGTCTGGCGGACCGCCTCACACCGTCAGGGTGGAGCCCCCACCGCCTGGCAGGCAGGGGGGCCCATGCTGCCTGTCTGTCCACGCCTCCCCGCAGGCTGGTCCCCCATCCTGGGTAACCCCAGCTCGACCTTCCAGACCCCAGCCCCATGTGCTGGCCCCTTGGGGCTCTGTGGTGCTCTGGCCTTGGACAGACACCCCCTTGCAGCTGGGGAATCTCCACCCCCTCCTCTGTCCTCAGGCCCCACTACAGCTCCTGTGTTTGGGGCTCTAGGGCAGCAGGATGGAGAAAGTCAAGGAAAGCTGAAAAGAAGGAAGCACATAGGTGTGCCTGGGCTGGGGTCTGGCCCTCAGGGTCAGGAAGGGCTGCTGGGAGAACGGAAGGCTGGTCGTCACCCTTCCTGCGCCTCCCCCTTGTGCTTTTGTGGCTTAAGGACCCCTGTCATCCTCTGTTCTTCTCCGGGCCTCAGTTTCCCCCGCAGGCCTCCCAGGGCCGTCCCCAGGTGACCGGGCACCCACACTGCACTGTGGGGTCAGGGGCAAGCAGTAAAGCACAGGTGGCGGTGAAGCAAAGGTCACCTGTCCCCAAGCAAGGCAGACCTCTGGAGGCTGGTTTCGTGCCGCCCACAGCAGCCGGGGCAAGGGAGGGGCAGGGGCTGGGGGGTGATGGCACCAGCCCCAGCAGCCTCATTTGCTCTTCTGGAGCCTGGCGGTGACCCAGGGTACAACTGGGGGGTGGGGGAACCTTAACTCCTGGCCTCCAGTGTGGCCCCAACCGTGGCCGTGACCTTGGCACAAGGGAAGCCGCCTTGCCATCAGTTCTGCCCCAGGAGCAAGGAAGGCCCTCTTCCCGCCTCCTCCCCTGATGTCCACTGACTCCTGCCCTGCCCCAGTGCCCTGGCTCCAGCCCATCCACCTGCCCTTCCAGGAAGCCCCCCTCTGCCACCCCTCACCAGACCCCTGCCCAAGGAAGCTTTCTGGGGCCTCTCAGCAGCCACCGCCCTGCCCTGCCCCCAGCCGGGCCTCTGTCCCTGCCCGCCCTCAGTGGGGTCCTGCACAGGTTCAGGGGCCCTGGCTCCCTCCCCTGATGCCCAGACTCCACGCTTCGACATCAGCTGACCATGGGAGTCAGGTCGGGCTGCCCAGGGCCCCAGGGCCTCTCTGTGCTCCCCTGGCCCCGGAGTCAGCCCGAGGTCTTGGCCAAGGCAGCTACCCATCAGTGAGTCTCTGGGCCACTGTCTGTGAAGGGGGCCCACGTGGAGCCCTGGGGTGGCAGCAGCCATCGTGTGGGAAGAAGCCCAGCAGGTCCCAATGCGTCCCGGAGGCGGACCTCATCCGAACTCAGTGCCACTCACGTCCTCGCTTTAGACCAGTGTGTCCCCTAAGTCCTAAGCCAGCAGAGCCCCCTCCTCTCCTCCCCACCCTCAGAGAGCAGATGAGGCGAGGCGGGCCCCTTGCTAAGCCCTGCGAAGCCCAGCTCTGGGAGCCCAGGTGGGTGTTGGAGCTGAAGCTCGGCACTGACATCTTGCCCCACACTTCGCCGGAGCGTGGTGGATGTGACGCTCTTGGGGACTCCAGTGCAGCGGCTAGGCAGCTCCACCGAGCGCCTCGGGTGGCGGTGCATGTGTGTGCACGTATGTGCTGTGCGCGCGCGCGCGCCGGGCTTTGTGTACGTGCGCGCGCGCCGTGCTGTGTGCGCGTGCACGTGCGTGGTATGTGGGGGGTGTGTGTGGCGGGGTGTGTGTGTGTGTGTGTGTGTGTGTGTGTGTGTGTGTGTGTGTGTG